TTAGACTGGGGTACGTGTGGCTTGTGATGTACCGGTACCAGAATCACTTTGGTAAATATGTAGACAAGTAAGTCAGGGGGCTGCTGGGCGAGGAGTAGGGTGGGTCAGTTCCCACATCAATCGTCGCTTGCCTGCAAGAGATCGTCTGATTTTCGGGCGGGCTTCGGGGATGACGAGGACCCATTCCTCCTTGTCCGCCAGGTGGAGTTGGAGGACGTCTACAAGGCGGGATCGACGGATGGCAGGGCGAAGGTTCCGAGGTAGGTCGCGAGGACCCATGTCAAACTCTTTGTGGATGCGTCGATCGAGAGCAGTCGTGTGCTGTTGGTTGACGATGTTGTCGTCAGAATGAAAGACATCATTACGATGCTTCCACATGCCTTTACCGATAAGGATGAGCTGTCAAGATAGATTGGCAGCCCAGCGGTTACCGGATCGGCGACTACCGCGAGAGAATTGTTGCTGGGGGTCGGCCCAGCCGTGGACGAGAAGGCCTTCGAGGAGACATTGGGGGCCAAGGCGGAATTGAGCCTCACAGACTTGGGTGAGGGCGGAAGAAGACATTCCGTGTAGGCGGTACCACGGAGTCTCAGTTTGAGGCTGGTTGTTAGGGGTGCGGATGGTGCGAAGAAGGGCCCCAAGGAATTGGGCGATGGGTGTAGCAGTGGTGGTGGACTGGAACCAATCTTGGAGTTCTTGGAGTAGGAGCTGCCACTGGGTCTTGGCCCGGGCGGAAGGGCAGCGGGGGACGTGTAGGTGGTCTTCCTCCAGGCCGCACAAGCGGCATCGGTTCTCGGAGTCGAGACCCCATCGTTTACGGAACCCTGTGCGATCTACATCGACAATGAGAAGGTCTCCTGTCTGGCTTTGGAATCGGTCGACAAAGCCGTTGTCCTGACGGAATTGATGGAATACTGAGCAGCCAAAGGCCGCCTCGCTCCCAAACACTTCCGATCGGTGGACTGGCCGATAGTGCACCTAGCGATGAAGTCTCTGAAGCCCGCCGAACAGCGCTTCATCACAAAAAACACCGTTGGGATTCGTGTTGTCGTCAAGAATCGTTCCTTGAAATGCATCAAGTTTTCGGTTGTTCCCTGCTTCATAGCAAAGAACTTTTGATTGGCTTCCCAGAAATCCAAGAAGTCATACTCAGCATCAGCACTCTTCTTCATGAATCGTTCAATACGTT